GGGGAGGCGGTGGCGGGGACCGCCCGGGGCTCGGCACCGGCCGGGCGCTGGCGGAGCGGGGGCTCCAAGCCAACCCCGGGGCCTGGGGGGGGTCGGGGCTGAGGCGGGTCCCAGCCCTACAGCAGGTTCTCCTGGGGTTTTCGTGCTGCTCTTCTGGTTATTCGCTGGTACGGAGTGTTTGATGCGTGTGCGTGTTTCTGTTTTGTAGATCGTTCTTACATGAGATTAACAGAGAAGGAAGACGAAACGTTGCCCATAGATGTAAGTTTAAGTTTGTACAATGTTGGAGAGGCGCAGTGCCGCGCGGGTAGTTCAGTCTCTCTCAGTTGCTTTTTTTTTAACATGATAGGCAAGAGCAAAGGGTAGAGTCGTTTTTAAATTGCACTTTCATTTGAGCTCCCTCTGTCAAAAAGAACCCTGTTTTCTTATCCCAGCTTCCTGTGGGGCGTTACATCTGTCAGAGAGAACAAACCCCAGGCCCAGGCCTCCCTCTCCTTCTTTAGAACTACCCTGAAGCATCTCGTCTAGGAATTCCCTGAACGTGGCTCAGAAAGCTTTTGCATTCATCTCCTTCTTTGCAGCATAAACATCCTCGTCCCTCTGGCTTTTGTTGGCTGACATTTGTTTATCCAGTGTGGCTGTGTGCCCATTTGATCCCAGCACAACCTGCTTCAGGACGGGTTTTTTTTAATTTGCTTTATTTGCCTGTTCTTTAAATTCCACTTCAGTTATTATCTGTTCCATTTTTGCTTAATCAGAAAGGTAAGGAGATCAAATATCCATGACCAAGGAGCAACTGCCACCGCTGCACAGCATGTGTTGGCAGCCAACTCGTTTCTCGGAGAGAGTATTAGATCCTTAAGTGCACAAGAACACGTTTTTTTGTTCTCGGGATCTTGCTGAGGAGCCGTGTGAGTCAATTCAATGCGTGCAGCGCAGACCAATGTCAGGCAGCTGAAGCTCTTCTCAGCTCTGCCACCGTTTCGCCACGCTAAATAGGCGGGGTATTTCATCTTCCCGCGCCTCAGTTTCCCTACTGTTGAATTGCCCACCTCTGTAAAGCACTTACTGGATGTAAAGCGCAAGAGACGCTGTTTGAAAGATGAGATTTTTTGGTAAATATTAAGAATATTAAGTAACGTGTGTGTTGCATTGTGCTTCCCTCTGTTACAGATAGTTCTTCAAACTCTGTTAGCCTTTGCAGTTACCTGCTATGGGATAGTACATATCGCAGGAGAATTTAAAGACATGGATGCCACTTCAGAACTAAAAAATAAGTATGTTTTATTTCTTCTTTTCATAAACAGATGTATCTGCTGCTCGCTGTACAAACTGAACGCATCTGTGAAATAGCTCGCTCTTTAGCTCCGTTCTTCTTAAATGCGCGTTGTAGACAATAACACGGAGAGGAGCTGTCACACCTGGGAAAGCCAACAATGTCTTGAATTTCAGAGAGAGTTAGATAACCGGAACAAATTAAATAAACTTCTTGCTTTTCCTCATCCAAAATCCTGCTGCGCAGAGTTGGTAGAGGAATGCAGTGTCTACGTGGGAAGTAAGAGCGCAGCAGTCACAAACTGCTGTCACGAGATGGTCTCGTAGACTGCGGGGCAGTAGGCCTGCCTCACCTTCTGTTTGCTTCTTTACAAGAGTCTGAATTACTCGAATCTCACACTGAACTATTCAAGGCAGAATATCTGAAAGACTTTAAGAAAATAAGGGATTTTGAATCGAGATTTTGAGAAGGATATGAAATTGGATGGGCAGACGCGGCCTCTCTGGCCACGTCCAAAAACACAGGGGAGTATGGAAAGTAAACAAGTTGACATTGTTGTATTTCACAGCATTTACCTAAACCCCTTAGCTTCAAGCACCGAAAGGGATGGAAAGCTGACAGCAAACAGCGTCAAGGTATTAACACAAGCGGCAGCTGAGCTAAGGCTGGCACAGTTGGTACGTGTGCATGCAGTAATCCACAGGCCTGCCCCTAAGCTCAGGGAAGGAAGGTGAAGTTTGTCTGTGGGGTGGACAACCTCTGCGTGCTGAGCAGTCAGTATTTTTCACACTTGGCTTTGTATTTCTTCTGTGGTTTGGTTTAGGAAACTGACAAAGTGAGCAAGAGTTTTGGATTCAAAACTTGTATTTCCGCATCTGTAGAAGCTGGTATACCCTAGACTGACTCTTCTAAAACCCCTGTGCTAAAAGAGTATTAACATTGACTTTTTACATTTATTTTGAAGGACGTTTGACACATTAAGGAACCATCCATCTTTTTATGTATTTAATCATCGTGGTAGAGTATTGTTCCAGTCCCCAGACACAGTGAATTCTTCTTCAAACCAAGATGCTTTGTCATCCAGCTCGTCACTGAAATTTCGAAAACTTGAACCTCTGCGCCGCTAAGACTTTTACAGATTATTATAATAATCCAGGACACTGAGATGTAATATTGAAGTCGGGGATGTAAACACTTTTTTAATTTCTGGAGCAGTATTTATATTGATCTTCCAGACTTTATAAAGTATATATATATATAAACTAAGGACCTTCTTTGTACACTGTTAATGAAAATGACTGAATTGTGAATTGGCAATGCAGTGTAAATTATTCTACAGTTATGCTGTGAAACACATCTTTAAATTTTCATTTATTAAAACAAGTTGCAGCTGACTTAACTTCAGTTAAAACAAAAAGCAAGCTAGTTTTTACTGCAATTAATGCTCTTTGACAAGAGGGAATGTTCGAGTGCTATTTATTTTCTCTGTTTGCTTGCACTACAGTTTATGGAACTCCTTCAGAAATACTGTGTGCGCTGCATCACTTAACAGCAGAAAAAGAGGCAGTCTCCTGTTCCTAGAATGCCCAGGAGACCTGCATGGTGTAGGCAGGGGAAGTCAAAAAGATTGCTTTCATTTTTATTTTTTTACAGTGCTGAAAAACAGTTGTGTGAAGTTTCCCCCCCCCCCCAGTTTTTCATTATCACTTTATTTCCTTGTTGCCCTCCTTCGTTTAAATGTAAACTGTCTGATGTTGCCCCAGGTTGCCTGGGCTGTGGCTGTACGTTCGGTGCCTGGCTGGGGGAGGCAGCTTGCGTCTGATCACGTAGATTATCTACCGTGCTCAGCTTCTTTACCCACTGTATTTATGTTTTCTCTTTGGTTGTGAATACGGGAATGTTCATCAGATGGCTGAATGCTGTGTTGGCACCAGGTACAAGTTCCCAAGTCATCTTCTGTGAGAAGTATTTAAGTATCAGTAAGAAATCTCCTTTCTGTCAGTGGTCCAGGGATAGGATCCAACAGCTAGGTCTGCTTGCTGGCACTAGCACAGCACAGGTAATCAACCCGTCATGGTACAACTACCCCCTTTTCTGCCAACAGAGCCTTTCAATTTGATTTCTTTTTTTTCCAGCTGAGCCCTTTGTTGATTTAAGATTACTGTCTTGATTTCGTGTATTAGAACGGATGATACAGTCCTTAACTCTTACTGATGTCTAAATTCTGATCTCCCCTTAGGGGCTGAATCAGTGCTAAAATTTTTCTCGGTCTGGCATTTCACCTACCTTCATAGCAAAGGGAGGGTAGTTCGAGATACTGATGGGGCCAACTAGAATTTTGCCTAGTCTGAGGATGTCTCGCTGCCACCGTGGAAACTCAGCCTTTTGTCCTAGAATCTGTTGGTTTGGTTTTTTTTTTAAACTGATAAGAACTGTCAAAGGCAAAAAGCTTAGCAAAAATAATACTGCGTAAACCGAAGCCTCTTTTTCTAGCTCTGCCCGTCCTATGGAGTGGGTGCCCCAGTGCTAGAGCAATATCCATAGCTGCTGCTCTACAATCACTCTTAAGCGTCTGGGTTTGGTTAGAAAGGGTTACTCTGCCAGCTGAAAGTGTCTGAGCTGCCGGATGACTTCCTAAAGTGTCCTGGTCCCCCCCTGGCTGGTGTCACAAACCAGCTCATGCCAGCTGCTGTCACCAAAGGCCTCAAAAACAGGATCAGGTCAGCTCTCTATTGCGGACAGAGCTCTTCCCGTGGGGAAGAGGGCTGCTGCGCGGCAGTTGCCGCATGGAGGACGCAGCTGAACATCGGCCAGGTGACCTTGCGAGGCACAGAGGAAAGACAGACTTAGCGGAGGGAGGGAAAAGCAAAGCAGAAGGTCGGTAACTGCTGCACCAGACTGATACTGCAACTGTGGTTGGCCGCGAGCCATTTGCAGAGGGTCTCTTAGAGCAGGGCTGCTCACCCTTCATGTCTAAGAAGCCCCATTTGTGCTACCGTAAGGCTACGAGGACCTGCCCGAGGTGGAAGGTGCTGCTGTGGGACAGGGCGAGTGGAGAACATCATCCGCTTCTCGGAGCGCGTCCTGCTAGGAACACCCTGTTGGCCCCATCGGGTCTCTTCTCGTGACAAGTAGCCTTACTCTTCAGCAGCAATGGTTATATCACAAAGCTGTACAAATTATTTTTTCTTATTGATCTCGCAATGTCCAATAAAAATTGATATCCTTAAAGTGTTTGGGAGTTTATTTTTTTTATTTCTGACCATGCTGGAGCCTGCAGCAGCTAATCCCTGATGACTGAATATTCAAAAATGACTGCCTAGCATTGACAAGAAGTGATTGCCGTAATTACGGCAGCTCTGTGTGAAAGTGCCTGCCTGGCCTGGTGTTCATTACTGTAAGATCAGATCAGTAGGGGGAATCAAAATAGCATGCTACAAGTAGCTAAACAAAACATTTAGGAGGGAAATGTTACCAGCCTGGGGATCTGCCTGCCCTTGAGATTCCTAGTCAATGTATCTGGCAGAGCTGACACACTTTCTATCTCCCATTTAACCATAGTAAAGGCTTTTCTACCATGTGCTAATCCCCTGCCAACCCACGGGACAGGCTCCTGCAAGGTCTGGTATTGCAATAGTTGCTGGGGGAAATGCTCAGCCTCCTCACGGGGCCGGAGATACTTAAAGCCTTGGACTTGAGCAAGACGGCTTTTCACTCCCTGTTCTGCTTTTCCGCGGGGGGAGGTTGGAAAGTTAGCAAAGAGCTACAGGAGTTTGCTTAACTGCAGCACCCAGCACGATTGCACCAGAGAGAGCAGCAGACTCACCCTTCCTCTGCTTCCTGCGCTGCTGCAGCTGTCGGCATCCAGCACTGAACGTGAGGGTGTAAAAAACCAGTAATCATCAGTGTTTTAAGGAAGGGGCGCCTTAACCAGCTCCCAGAGCTGCCTTGTGCTTACCTTGCCATGTGCAGTTCTTCACGGATGAGCTTCCCTTCTTCAAAAGCAAAACAAAAGTTGTGCCAGGAGCTTCTTGGATTAGACCGAAGAGTTTCCAGCCTCGCCCAGTGTGCATTTACTGAGATCTCTCATCGTCTCATCACGCCTTGAGTTGCTTTGGCTACAGGACGTGATATTTCTACTACGTTAAATACTAAAAAAAAAATGTGCTGATAATTTGTGTTCATTGCTGGAGTAGTGTGTTTAATCTGCATTAATTTTGCTGGGTTTTTTCTACTCTTCCTCACCAGCCAGTGAGAGTTCAGTGGAGAATTTTTGTTTCTTTAAAGCTAAGGAGGGCGGGAGTCATTTAGACCCTCGCAAGGTGAGGAGACGAGGACCACGGTTTGTGTGAGATCGTTCCCTGTCCCTGCCCCTTCCGTATCAGAGGCTGGGGTGGAAGCGCAGCTGGCAGAAACCTCTTTTCCTCGAGAGTTCGGCGGGGTCTGAACCACAGCACCGCTTGTGAAAGCAACCCCTGCTCAAGCACGTCTGGCAGCGGCAGAGGAGCTTTGTGCTTCCCCTCCATGCGCCGGCAGAGACGGAGCGTGCCGGAGCCATCGCTGCGGTGCAAGAAAGCAAAGCGGAGCTGCGAGACCCGCGAGCGCTGCATGTAAGGGGTGAGGCTGGCGTGCCCTCTCCCCACTGCTGCCAAGCGCTGGATTAAAGCTTTTTGGGGAAAGAAAGCTGGTGGCTAACGGCCCCTTCTCGGTCCTCTGGGGCACCAATGCAGCCCCCTCCCTGCAGAAAGCAGGGAATGGCAATTACTTTCTACTCGAAAATGATTTTTTTCTTCCTTATCGCTCGCTTCCCATGCTCCAGGTTCCCTCACCCTTCACTGCGCTGCAGCAGCGCTGCCCTTCTCCATCTCCAGCACCCTCAGCAAGGACATCAGCTATGGGGACATCCTCCAGCTGGCTACAGCCCCCCTCCCCCCCCCGAGAGTGGCACCGTGTCTGCTCCTTTTTGGGGGGTCACCTGCCCTGAATTTTCCACCAGACGATTCGGAAAGGCTGATGCTCACCCCGCAGCGTCGTGGGGCTGCGGCGTTGCCCCCGAGCTCCCTGGGGGAAGCCCCCCAGCCTCGGCGGGGCAGGGAAGCTGCAGCTCGCTTTGGAGCTGGCAGGCTGCCCGCGCGGAGGGGAAGGGCGAAGAAAGGCTATTTTGAATGTTAAACAAGCAGAAAAAAACCTTTGGTACCAGCTTTCCACGGCTGGCACTAGCAGCAAAGGCAAAACGCTCCTTTGATTTGGCCTTGAGGTTCACCTTGAAGCCATAATTACCTGGGGGAGAACCATGGCAGAAATAAATCTGGTATTTCAGCAGGTAAAAGCCTTTTAATCAGGCCCACATTGGTCTCAGTGATACAATGTCATTTCAAAACACTTCAGACTGCAACAAAAGCTACATCCTTAAAATGGCAGCTAATTAATTTTCCTGTCCTGCTAACTTAATCCTTTTTCCAGCCAAGAAAGGCAAATGGGAGTTCACGAAGCGGCGAGGCAGCCAGGAGCCTGGCAGCGCGAGCAGGAACACAAGCCCCAGGGCTCTCTGGCAGGGGCCCAGGCCGTGCGGTGTCACAGCTTACCAGGCCATTTTCAAAGGAAGGGGGAAGAGAAAAAAAAAAAATGGAAAAGGTGCCATTTGGATTATCAAACTAACGGTTCATCCTATGCCAATGGTCCGGGGGAGCCCACAGACCCCCGCCCCAGACAGACGTGGCTGCTTACTCCCAGTTCATATCCCCAGTGTAACCCTTGCTGCCGGACTGGTGCTGGCTGAACCAGTTTCCTGGGGATTAGCTGGAGGCATGCCGTGCTGCAGGAGGGCTTCACTGAGGATTTTAAAAAAAAAAAAAAAGGAAAGAAAAAATTCCCCCTCCTCCCCCAAGGTATTTCTGCTGTGTATTTTAGAGCAGCTCAGGGCCAGCCGTGCAAGGCCAGTGCTGACGTCCTCGGAGCCCCAGGCTGCCCCAGCATCCTCCGTCCCCGGGAGGTCTCTGCCACAGCGCAGGATGCAGGAAGAGCGCCCGGTGCGCACAGCAAACGCTGAAGCAGCCATTTACTCCCCTGTCCCGGACACAGACATGCACAAGACGCATTGAAAAGCAGTTTTGGAGGAGCCAGTTTGGCAAGTGCTCCAAAGAGCGTCTCGCTTCTCCACATCCACACAAAGCTGTCGCTCCCTGGGACGTTACCGGAGCCTCCGAGGCACCCACAGGCCTGGGCTCAGCCCCCAGTGAGGGCAACCCCACAGTACGGCAGC